TTACAGTTGGACTGACAAGCTTTACAGAAGAGCTATCGTGAAGGACTAAGACACAGTGAGCAGCAGTTTACCTCCTCAGCTTCTATCCGGCGTTGTTCTCTCTAAAGACCGCTACAGCCTGCAAGGCGAGGGTCACGTGACAGACGGAATCAGCCAATAAACCAAAAGCTTTCTTCTTCGGCTGCTGGCGTTCATTACCGCCACCCTCTGCTCCGGATAAACGTACCTATGGATTTTCCATAAGGAAAAACGATGCGCTGATATTCTGAATTAAAGTCCACCTCCAGAACGTTCTCCATGTTAATGGCTCTCAGCCCCATGAGCCTAACCCGAATCCTATATCCAGCAGTACTGTTACTCTGCAGGAGGACCAGAGGGAGGGGGGTTGGTGTGGTCCTAAACCTGAAAACAAGCCAAGCTGCATCTTTGTATACTCACAAACCTAAGTTAGGTTTATTTTACAATTTGTAAGGGCCATAACCCATAGGGTAGTCAGTCATAGGAAAGGCAATGGTTAGGTTAGGTTTTAATTTAGTATTTGACTGGTCCCCTTCAAATTCACACTTGAGTGTGTTAAATATTACAAATATTATGTGCTAACCACAGTAGAGCTGCATAGTTAATATTCAGCCTGTGTACACAAACACAGTGAATGTAAGGAAGAAGAGAGGAGGAGAGAAGTCAGAAGTCCGAGATGCAGGGAATGGAGTATGGACACATTCTAGTTGACTGGGGTCTGTTTTACCAGTAGAGTAGGCCTGCAGATGGGCTGGGAAAAAGTCTGGATGACCTGAAAGCCTAAAGCAAGAAAGATCACCAACATGATTAGATATTTCCAGCTTCCATTTCTCCTGCAGAAACAACCTCTTGGTATTTGTTAAAAGGAACAGAGCGGCAGGAGCTTTACTCCTGGCTGACGTACATGAAAGAGCATAACAGGACATAAAATACACTATTTTAAACCCAGATTTGATATCCTCTTAAGATGAACAGAAAAGCTGTCCACAGCTGCTTTGTGCTGTATGAACTCCTTCAGTTCATGAAATCTATGCAGTGACACTGAAGGGGGTGCGTAAGCGCAGTGCTGTTACGCACAGTATGTTTAGCTTTGTTAAATCACCTGAAAGCCTCCTGCTACACTATAATTTATACTGTATATAAGATATAATGTGGCCTGCAAAATTATTTTGTCTAGTTGTCTCTTATCAATTTAAACTGCCCCTTCATATAAAATTATTTTTTTTATTTTAATTATTTATTAAATTGGTTTCGCTCATAATAATGCCAAAGGTCAAAGGTGCCCACAAACACGTGGAAAAAAGGGCAGGTTTCAGGGTTTTTTGTGAATATTTCAATAGAATAATTAAGATAACCAAATAGAGGCAAAGTAGTTACAATTGCCAGTGTATAAATATAATAGTATTCTAATAACAATTTACTAACAACATTGAGAAGGTAACAGTAGTTTGAAGGCAAATTTAGAGTTCTTGGTGTAGCAAGCAAAAACAACCAGACACTTCTTGTTATAATATAACAGGGTTTATTATATTATAGCAGCACTAAACATACAATCAACTCTATTGATTACAATAACAAGCTAACGGCTCAGAGAGGCTAACTGTCAGGTATGTGTGTCACATACTGACTGTCAGTGTGTGGGATTGCTGTCCGTTGGTGTTTCTACAGCCATCTAAAAGTCCAAACCACTGCACCAGAATAGAAACATACTAGTAGGTTAGCAAAAAATTGCATAAACTCCTGTGAATGTCGTGTCTCCAACAGTAAACGTCTAAAAAAGAGCACAGCAGTTTCACAAACTCCCATTCAAAGCGCAGGTTGGGGGTGGTGGGCTGCTCTCCTCTAAATAGAGGGCGTAAACACTGTTTTTTCATATAAATGTCATGAAGTATAGTTGCCCCAAAACTATCTCAGCATTGGACTTAAAAGGGCTCAGGGTGATTTGTAGAGACATTTCAACCCATGAAATGCAGATTTTCATATCTTATAATACTTATAATAATGTCAATTGTAACACCAGCACTGATGTGTTGTTTACGATACTGTCATATAATGGAGTTTACAGCTCGAAACACATTATAGGGTGGAGTTTCTCTTCAAAGTAATCACAGTGATTAAACATAAAATAGCGGCCAACAAAAAATATGGTGACCATGCTTACCCTCTCAACCACATATGACACAAACACAGGTGAAAAGGTGCTCTATGTTAGTAAGTGTCATTGCCCATAATTGGCCAATGTGACCCAAATTTAAAAAAATCACCGCAATCAAACGATAATAAACTAAATTTTGCAATGATGTCAAAGACACTAACTAATTAAATACCTCCAAAATATAAACATCACCTCATATTGCAAAATGAATTCATGATTATTCATTCATGGCTCCAACATGTATGTTGAGAAGAGGCGCTAGGAACTGACCCTACAATTAGTAAAGGACAGACTCTACCTACTGAGCCACAGCCGCTTCTACACAAGGAAATCTGTCAGTAATCTGTTTATTAGCACTTCTGTCTTTTGTTTCGTACACACAATACTATCCAACTTCTGTCTGCAGACATATTCGTATGAGCACATACAACATGATGCATTGATATCAACTGGTATTGCTAAGGACTGAGCGGCAGTGAAACCAGAGCTGTTCACATGTTTATTTAAAGTATAAATATTGTTAAAAGTGTAGCATGTCCAAATTGCACAGAATTTGACATTATGTCTGCTTGCGTCCCCAGAAATACACCCACCAACATTAGGGTCGATCAGATGAATGATTGTTGAGATAAGCAAAGAACACACACTTATACATAAGCCACAGACGGATGGAGAGCACTCAGTGAACCTCTCAGTGACAGCAGAGGCAAAACCAATCGTTAGCATAATTTAACTTTTCTTTTAAATTGTCCTGGCAACATATCTTATAGGTCACACATTATTAGGCTAACTAACTACACATGATACCGGCCAAAAGACTCCCACCATCTTAGGAAGCGGAGAAGACACAATGGATTAACTTTTTTGGACATGTCCCTAGAACGACTGGAAAACTGGAATGTCTCTAAGAGATGAGCACGGGAACTGCTCTGTTGTTGCCTGCATAGAGAGCATTTATCGACTCCCATCATCTGAAGAAGTGAAGACCCAGTGGATTCACTTTATTTTCTATAGATATGTAATGGAAATATCCCCACAACAGAATGTTTGGGTGCACATTACACTAAATTAATTAACAATTCAAGCTCCAACATGGATCAATACCCTGTTTTGGCTGCTTGTGACCAACTTCAAACTTTGAAGTTCTGCCATGTTTTATGTTGTTTGTTTGTTTTGTAGGTTAGTCTGTTGAACTTGGCGTTAGCATGTTGCATGGGTAATATGGTTAAAAGGTTGTGGTGATGTTGGACTAATGGTTTAATATTGAGGGACAGTCAAGAGAAACTGTGAACGTTAATCCTCATTTGAAGTATTTCATGTAACTTCATACTTCAGTGCAGTTAGAGCTATTAGTGATAACAAACACATTCCTGCGTCCTGTAGTTGCTTCACAAAAAAGCTACCCCGTGTTGAATGGTTTACCCACTACACCAATGACTGGATCAGACCCTCACCTATCACCACATACATCAAATGTTCAAATGACAATGTGATCCTCGCACTCCTTAATGACAATAACTCTGTTTTGGGCTATTTAGACTGCATCTCCCACTTCACACAGTAGTGCACAAACAGCTATCTGCAGCTGAACGTCACCCCATCCACAACCTCTCAGACCTGAACAGCAAAGCACGCAGAGCACACACCATAGCAGATACACACCAGGTACCCACCAACCCATTTTTTACATTGCCCTTCGTAAAAGGGCTCGCTATGTCGTCTGCCATAGCATTACTCAACAAAACACTTCTGTAGCCATTATGTGTAAATATTTTTATATTATATAATTTATAATTAAATAAATTGGATATTTGTACAAATGTTGCTGCTGTTTTGAATGTCTATCTTGTGTTTATGCTGTGCATGTATGTATGTATGCATGTGAGGCTATGTACAGACTGTGGCAACTAACTTTGGCAATCAGATTTTTGAGTGGTGGACTCCGGCACTATTCTGGGCTGGAAAAATAATATTTTTCACTCAATCAAAGCTCTCTTCTTCTACAGCAACACAACGGTGTACTTTCAAGGATTTTGCCCAAGCAAATAATCTTTTACATCGAGAACACCAATATGGTTTCTCTCCAGTGTGGACACGCAGATGTGTCTTGTACTCACTTGAGACACGGAAACTTTTCCCACACTGTTCACACCGGAATGGCTTCTCCCCAGTGTGTATACGCAGGTGTGTCTTGTAGTAATTTGGGCAACTAAAACTCTTCCCACATAGTTCACAGCAGTAAGGCTTTTCTCCAGTGTGGACACGCAGGTGTATCTTGTAAACATTTAAGAGACGGAAACTCTTCCCACATTGTTCACAGTGGTAAGGCTTCTCCCCAGTGTGCACACGCAGGTGTCTCTTGTAGTAACTTAGGCTACTAAAACTCTTCCCACACTGTTCACAGCGGTATGGCTTTTCTCCAGTATGGACACGTTGGTGGTCCTTGTAACTACTTAACAAAGTGAAACTGTTTCCACATTGTTCACACTGGTATGGCTTCTCTCCTGTGTGGATCCGCAGGTGTCTCTTGTAATCCCCTAATAAACAGAAGCTTTTCTCACATTGTTCACACTGGTGTGGCTTCTCTCCAGTATGGTTAAGCTGGTGTCTCTTGTAATCACTTAGGCGACTGAAAGCCTTTTCACACTGATCACACTGGTATGGTTTCTCTCCAGTGTGCACACGCTGGTGGTCTTTATAACTACTTAACCGTGTGAAGCTGTTTCCACATTGGTCACACTGGTATGGCTTCTCTCCGGTGTGGGAACGCTGGTGGTCCTTGTAACTACTTAACCAAGTGAAACTGTCTCCGCATTGTTCACACTGGAATGGTTTCTCTCCAGTGTGGACTCGTAAGTGTCTCTTATAACTACTTAAGCGACCGAAAGCCCTTTTACAGTGATCACACTGGTGTGGCTTCTCTCCAGTGTGGATTCGTAGATGTCTCTTGTAAACATCTGAGTCACTGAAACTCTTTCCACATTGGTCACATTGGTAGTTTCTCTGCAGTGTAAGTGAGTCCATGCCTTCTGCGACCACCAAAGCGTCTGAAAGCAGACTATTTTCCAAGCTTCTGACACCGACACTGTCTGCGTCTGTTGGTTTCAACAAACAAAAACAGAGAGATAAATTAAACCATTAAGTAACCATACTCCATATATAGTATACTCGATCAGAATTGCAACAACTTCAGAAACCCTTCCGCCCACACTCATCTGACACTTGCATGCTAACGTTAATAGTTAACAAGGCAAAGAGAAACTCCTGATGTGCTGTGTCACCATAAATCAGTCACCATAAGTCACCATAAATATAGGTTAAAGACATTTATATTGTATTATTCACTATATTAACAGTTAAACTGACCAATCACAGTCCTTAACCCTGTCTGAGCAGACATCTGTTTCTAAAAGCCTTTTTCTTTTCCAAACTAAAAAAATGAGACGAGATTATATTTAAATTAATTCCATCAAATTATGACTTAGAATTTAATGCTGCAGGGCTGTAATTTTTTATTCAAAAATCAAAAAATGTTCTTGTGGTGGGTCGTCAAGGCTGCTTAGAGGCGTATATGCTGTCTTGTCAGGTCCGAAAGAACTGACCCCCCGGCACCTACCTATGGTATTGTAGAAAAACGAGTACTGTAATGTTTTCAGAAATTTGGCATCAACTTGGTACCGAAGTAACAGGTCTCATGACAAATCTGAGGATTCACTTGCAAACATTAGCTTGCCAGGTGCCAGTGAGGCAGCGGACCAGAGGTGCTGCAGACAAGCAGAGCAGCGTCAAGTGTACAACCTTGTCCGACTGCTACTATCTGGCACGCTCAGCTACAGTCGCCAACCAAGATTTGCTTTGTTTAACTACAGCCCTAGTCTTGAGATTATTGTTCAAATTCATTAGAACTAATTGTGGATCATTTTAAATTCCTTTAAACTTGATTTTCTGGAAAAGTGAGACCCCTACGATGCTGTCTGCAGCTAAAGGTGTTACTGGGTAATGTGTGAGTGTATTTGCTCTCACCTCTTTTGAAGAATTCAATTTACCTCCTTGTTAGTCAAACAAAATGTCCTTCAAATGCGCTTCTTCTGGTCTGCACATTACAGCTCTGTAATAAAGACAGACTGGTCAGAGCAGGAACACCCACTGAAACAGTAATATTGTAGGTACCTAGGCAGAATTCAATACTGGATCATTACTGCTGACTGTGAATGCCCTAGTCACATTTATTTCCACTGAACCCAATTGTATACAAATCATATTGGCTCAATAGCAATCTATTATTTTTTTATATATAGGAGCTGGTATAGCAGTAGCTAAATCAGGTCAGTTAGTTTGACTGTTTTGTAACTGGATTATTACAGGTAACTTCAGGAGTAACTTCCTAATTAACTTGTACTACAAAAGAGTTATGCTGTCATGGCAATTTAGACCCCATCTCTAAACAGCAGGTTATCTTTATGGTAAACTAGATGCTACCATATAAAAACACCTCTCTTTTGCCCACGATCTTGTCCAAAAACTACAGCACATCAGGAAGACTCAATCAACATTGGCACACAGGTTGTGAGATACTCCGGAGGACGAGGGTGTCACAGATAATGTTCTCTATGAAAGATGATCTCAGGATGTATTCCGGCTTATAGGGCCAAACATCCCTAATGCCAGTTGCTGGAGTCATGCCCTCACGGTGACGCTGAACATCTGAGCAAGAATACTGTACACTGTGCAGTTGAAAGGTGGTACGTTCTAAAGATCAAAGAGGCGTGTTATATGATCGCAGTTCAATCATAATATAAAAATACTTTTACTGACTTTTAACATGCATAGGCTAAACCTTTTGTTCTATAGGAATCCAGAGGGTGATTGGTGCAATTAACTGTAAGTGTCGCAGAGCCGGAGGCTGGAGAGCAGAAGTGCTGTCTACTCAATATTCCATAATTCACAGCCCAGGATTACAATATCACACAGGAGGTTTTGTAGTAAAAAACGCTGACTGGTCTTCCTAATCATCCACAGCTGTGGTTTTGGTGTCTTTCAGCTGAATATGTTAACTGACTGGTTTTTGGCATCCAGACCAAGGAGGCAGGAGAGGGCTGGTGAGTATACTGAGATGACAGAATACTGCATATCACACTGTTAAACCACCCTAAATCACTGCAAGGGAAATTCCTTCACAGTGACAGCCCTAACGTTGGGTATTGGTACCTGCATTGATTTAAATGTGAACTCTACCCAACCATAGCTGGTAGCAGCAGAAATGTTTAGTTTGGACAGCACAGGCGTGCAAACCACAGCAGCTCAGCGAGGCAGCTATCACGCTCTGCTCACGCATGCTGTGTGGACCAGGCTTTATTATGAAATATAAATGTCTTAAAAAGTTGACTTTGTATGATTTATTATATTATTTCACAAATACTTTGTTCAGTGATATATTTTACACACTTTGCTCATACAGTTATTTATTTCATTACGTCTTATATGTGACATTTTGAACATTTTGAAAAGGCTACATATTGCAGAGTTAACACAATGTCAACCTGGTATAAAACATCCAAGCTAACACAATGTGGAATGTCAATACCCTTTAGCTCATAACTAACGCTTCCGCAGCAGCCTAGCTAACACATCCAGGCTAACAGAACACACAGTTATCAGCGAGATGCTGGAAGGAAACTGCAGCACGTTTACAGTTGGACTGACAAGCTTTA